AAATAAAATCAGAAAAATATGTATGACATTGAAGTCCTAATGTAACAATAGCTTTTAAGGCATATTGCCCTGAAATCAGTGAACTGATAAGATAAAGTACAATTTGGGATCCGATAGGTCTTTTTTCTTCTTTTCTTTTTGCAACATTATTCATATATGGGAAAAATCATGGCTGTCAAAACTTTTAAATTATGAACGTAACTTTTCCAAAAAATTTGATCATGTGTTTCCCTGATAGTTGTCTGTTTCTAGATTGTAAAATTAATTTATGTGAATTACTAAAATTATTTTTTATTATTTTAAAAATTTATATGAATTTAGTCATAAGAACAACTCGCCAAAATAATGGCATGTCTATGGCAAAAAAAAAAAAAGAAAAAGTAGAGGTTTATTTCTGTCAAATTCAAAGAACAATTACAAAAATATTTATAAATTATCCACCAATAAAATATTCACATTAATAATGAGATTTGAACTTATAATTTTATATATTATGAATTAAATTATTATCGATTGTATCAATCTATAACATTATAATATTTTTAAATAAACAACTATTGTGCTTATTTGATATAGCAGCACCATTGGATCAAATATTGTTGGACTCATTTAAGATATTACTCTATCAATATATATCACCAATATGATTAAATATTTAAATTGGACCGGATAAATAGATTCAACTAATAAATCAACAAACTAAGTTCTAAATCCAATATTTTGATAGCCTTATAAATGGGGTTAATCAGCTTTTAAAAGAGTGTTGACAACAATAAATATTGGGAGAATATCAATGAAGGATACTTAAAAGAATTTAATATTTGATAATAATCATGGATACAGGATAAATGTTAAAACAATAACTTTTTGTTAATATTTACTTGTTAAATTTTTTTTATGAAATTAAATTGCTTTTGAGGTTCTTCGTAGATATTCTCCCAAGTTCATCATGTATGCCTATTACTATTTGTTGAATAAATGTTTCCTACATAAAAAAAATAATATATACAATTAGTAATCAAATCAATAAACGGCAAACTGGTATTCTTACCAATTTATTCATTAATAATCACTAATTCAAATTTTAAAAATGCTGTTCACGAAACCATGTGGAGTTCCTAAAAGACAACAATTAGATTTTGTAACCTTGATTGGTAGGAAGGATTAATTAGTATCTTCAACTACATGAAAAATAAGTCTAAAAATCAGACGAATATATATATATAGATAGTATTTCACTGTCAATTGAGTATTTTTAAAATTCTAGATGAACACTATGATATTGATGTCCCCATTAAGTTTTTCCATTTTTGTCAAAAACCCTAATAATGATCATATAATTTGTTGATTTGTGCTAGAGTTTTTTTTTTTTTTTCAAAGTATGGTCACTATTGTAATTAAGATCAACATTAATATTCATGCCCCACAATTGCAATTCCAAACTAACTTCTATAGTACACCGATTGTGACTTGCAAAATATTCATTCTCAAAAAAGTAAAAGTACTTTTTCTAATTATAAAATTAAAAAAATTATTCTTTTTTTTTATAATTTCAACTCAATTGTAATTTAATCTTTAAGTTTTAACTCAATACAACTTAATTTTTATTGTTTAACTTATTGAACTTATACATATCACATTCCCAAAGAATTCAGGCTCATGAACTTGCACCCCCCATTTCTATTTTCTTAATGTGAGACTGGTGTTATTATTCACGATATATGAATAATGTGACTTTTTATAAAAACTATTATATATAATAATGACATTGATCCATCCAACTTTTTCCAAATTATTTTGTTTCGATCAATCTACAATTCACACATTAAAAAGTTATGAGATAATTCTTGAGACAAAGTGTACGTTAAAATTGTATTTCATCATTCCCAAATTATAAGATAATGTGATATAAAATTATACAAACCAATAAAACTTAATAATAACACTTGATAAATTTATTTTTTTAAAATAAAAATATAAACTTAAAAAATACCCTAATATAACTTTAGATTTAAAATTGTTATTTCTTCATTTGAAAGATAGTATTGAAAAAATATTATCAATAAAACTTTATTCTTGTCAATTTATCTTTATATTTTGGAATAAAAACATTCTTTTAACGTTATTTAATAATTTAAGACAAAAGGAGTAATATGATGAAACTTGCCTTGGAGATAATTAAAAAGCAAGTGAAATTTGCAGATGCAAACTTTAATTATTGATAAAATAATGTTACATGGGACATTATTGGCTTTCACATTTCTTCATCAAAAATTGTTGCTCAGATCCCCTTAGGCTTGATGTAGATGTTTTCATGAAAGAAGCCAAAAAAAAATTTCACTTTCAAGGTGGGGAAAAAAATAAAATTAAAAGAAAAGCTTTATTGGATATCTACAAAGGCAAGATAAAAGAGAGAGAAATGTAGGGGGGAAAAAGGGTAAAACGACAGGGCAAGCTAGAATCCACTATAAAGGAAATGGACAAAAATAATTGATTTTGAATCATTTTTTGAGCCTTTTAGTTTAGAATAATATGATATTTTTGTCTCCTCTGTGTCGTGAAAATGATTGTGAAATTTATAAAAAAATGGCTTCAATTTATTCAAATAGTGTAACAAAATTTTGACAAAAATAGTATTTGGATTTCAATAAAAAAAAATTGACTCCTTAAAAATTAGATTCACATTAGTTTATTAACCCAAAAAGTTCATGGATTCGACAAGTTTAATATTTTGTAATGATATATAGATAATCAAAATTATTTTTCAAAAATCAATAGCACGTAACTTATATTTTAGAGGTGAAACTAAAAATATTTATACTCACTCTCAAGAAAACTCATCAGTAATTAAGATCTTCTACAATGGCAAAAGAAGGGGAAATTTTACATAACATTTTTTTCTTACCCTAGTAAGAAATTGTACTTCTACAATATATAGATTAAGTAAAATGTTAAAAATTTGAATTGAATATACAAAAGAACAATCCAACTTTTAGTACAATTTTACCATTCAAAATTTAAAAACTTGACAATATATGTCATCAAGTCGTACATGTGAGAGAAAATGTGAACCTTACAATACAGAAGTAACGGACATTACCTTGTAATTAATGAGAGGGGACACAATATGTTTCAAAATGTTGAGGGCAAAATTGCACTTAAAAAGTTTTGAGTCTCATGTATTTCTAGATCTATAATTTTACAACAAAATTGGCCTTTTATCCATATATAAATAACAACGCCAAGCGCATATGATGATATGAATAAACATAAAGCAATAAAGCAAATCTGATCGAAAAAAAAAAAAAAGAAGAAGCAATAAAGCAACATACAATAACCCCAAAAAAGGGGGGGGAAAGAAAGAAGGAAGCAATGTAACGTTATAAATCAGGAAAGCCAACATGTTTCGGTAAAGGCAAAGTGAAAGGTTAAAAAAAAAAGGGGAGGAAAAGGGTGGGCCTTTAAAATCTTCACCCAAAAAAATAAAAAAAGCAACCTAGTGAAGAGAATATCCTTTATATTCCCCAAGTCCTGAAGAAACCACATGCAAAGCCACCTTATTAAAAGCTGAATATAACCCAACATATTATTATAATATGTTAAAAGTTATTTTTATTTTTAAATTATATACTAAATATCACAAATATCTCTAAATTTAATTATAGATCAATTCTATTCTTCAATTTTAAATACCCCTTTTATTATCAATCTAACATTAAAAATACTTAAACTCCGTTAATTATTGATAAACCTCACTATTTTTTAAATATTTTTTAGCAAATTGAAAGTCATTTTTATCCTTTAATTTCTATTTAAAGGGTTATTTTTTACCCCCAACTTAAATATTCTATAATAAAAAATATTAAAAAATATAATGTAAAGTTTACTAACAATAAGAAAATAACAAGATGAAAAATTTTAAAATTAAAAAAATAAAATTCATGAGTTTTGAAACATTTGTTATTTTTCGTACACAATTCAGAAACAAAAATGACCTTCAACCTCGATATCAAACACCACACACTTTTCTGTGCACGTTCACAAACCACAGGCTACAGCAACACTAATTCATATTTTTGTACATAGACAGACGCAGAGACGCGCGCGCGAACAAACGTTATATTTTGGCTATCCAAAATCCAAAGATTAAACTAAAACTAGGAAGAGTAAATAAGATTGATCTCTGGTTGGTACGCTTTCGCATCAATTATTGGTTTTCCATGTAAGCATGCCGTGCTTTCAGCATGAAGCACAACAGAACCAGCTTTGAGCAGATTTTCATTTCTTTTCTTAATCTACTGGGATTTCGAAAATCATTTTTAAGAAAAGGTTTTATGTGACGCCAACTAGTTCATTGAAGGACAAATTATAGGAATCTTTTATTTTTTTCCCCCTTGGAAATCATATAATTCTTAATTATCATGTAAAAGAGAGAACCCAGGTTCTATAATCTGTTCAACTTCACCCTATGACCCAAAAGAAGAAACTCACATTACGGAGGCCCAAGGAAAGTAAGGAAACAAAACTCTATGCAACATTTGGCTTTCACTTGAAAACACAAATACACTCGTGTGTGTGTTTTTTTTCCCCCTTTTGCTTTACTATCGGATTAGGTAGGTCAGACCCAAGCATCGGTGGACTCAATTAAGAGTAGTTCTCACAATCGGGTTAACATATACTATTATAACATATACACATATAAAATGATTTCATTACATTTACATATATCAAATATCTTCATAACAGAATACAGAGAATACGACTCTACAAAAGTTGCAGAGCTAAAATTTGTTACTCCCAATCCATAGAAGCAACCTTGCTAAAGAGGTATGATAGTCATCAAGATCATAGCATATCTGCTAATAATCAATATTATGCTAATTCACTAATCAAAAGCATACAAAATCTTAATAATGACATCATCCATAGTAAAAAGGATGTTATTTTTAAGCCTCTGAACTAAACTAATCCTAAATAGCCATCCGAAACTAAACAGTTCCTTACTCAAAATGACAAGTATTTCAATACACAATATATACAAAAAAACTTTGGGAAGAGTTAGTTTTCATGATGCCAAGCCATACAAATCATGAATGTCAGACTAGTTACTGTTAGATACAGGGCAGAGGAAAAGCAATCAAATCAATATACACATTTCCCAGTGTTAGTTCTAGTTCAGTCATCCTAAGCAACTAGCCCTAATTGAAAACTACTAAATAGAAAATTCACTAAGGGGCAAAAATAATGCATTCACTTTGAGATGTCCAGTGCGCCACAAAACTGAGAAAACACAGAAAGGACCAGATTTTGGGAAATTACTGGCACTAATGTGTGTGTGTATATAGATATAAGATAGTTATAATTATACAACAAGGTTCATTCTCAGCAAATTTTACCTCAGTATCCTTTCCTTCCACCAACAGGTGAATTCACCCTCATGATAATATTTAGGGACAGTTCACTAGCTACTCTGCATAAAATTGGAAGACATCACACATATATTTTATCAATGAGAAACTATCTAGTGATGCTATAAAACAAATACAAGAATCTTGCACCACCAGACTGAACATGAAAATAGATATCAACATAGTATCATAAACTGGCGTTATTTGGTACAATACATGAAAATTTACTCAAATAACTTTAAAATGGATTTTGTCGTAATTGGAGAATAAAAATTCCGATGCATAAAACTGAGTTTTCACATTGGTAAAAAAAAAAAAAAATCCTACTGGATTTCAATAGTGCCTGTGATGAGAATCTCTTAAATATGCAGGAAACACCATGATAATATACAATTACTGCCAGTCCTTATAATTAAAATATTCAGAAGGGTTTTACTGCAATGCAGGGTTGCAGCCAAAAAAAAATAAAGCAAACAGAAATTGGCGTTGAAGAAAAACACACCACCAAAGCTTCTACCCTTTTGTAATTAAAATATTCTAAAAGAGGGGTATAAATAAAAAGACAAACTCCAAGAGATGAAGATGAAGTACAAAGCAAAGTAATGATAAATAACATTCCCCTCTTCAAAACAAAACCAGAGAATAATCCCAAACAAAAAAGATACAAGTTGTTTGGTATATGGAATAGAATGCAATTGATGGAAATATGAAACCAAAAAGTGATATTGTTAAATAAAAAAAATTCTCATGCCTTAAGTTGAAAAAATAACAAAAAGAAGATAGCTAATAACAACAAAAATACAACAGATGTTATGCATCTCATTTTATGCGCAAGAAAAATTGAATCTCCCTCCCATAGGCGAAACAAAGGAGCTCTTGGACTGCAATAATCTAAGGCCCCTTGAAAGCAATTAACTTAATTCTTTAACACTGCGTCACCTATGTTCCCAACAGATTTAATTAATACAACACTCTTAGCCAACCAACTTGGATCCAAGGATCCAATATTTGGAAAAGCTTCACATGAGAACCAATTAGGGCAAGTCTGGTTTCATGTTGGAAACCACTAGAACCATGTTTTTCATGACTTTGGCAGTTCTCAACACGAAACCAAACACACTCTTAATATTGGTGTTAGCTGCCATGAATCTCAATTTTCATTTTTCATGGTTTAGGCAGTTCTCAAGAGACCAAACATGCTCTTAATAGTGGTGTTAGCTGCACCACGCATCTCAATTTTCAAAAAGGGACATGTCATATTACTATCATGATGTCATCTCATTCAGCCTAAAAAAAAAAAAAACTTCTAAAAAGATTAAGACTGCATCATACTACTATCTCTTTCCCAACAAATCATTTCTCCTCCATCAAACAAGATAAATTCTCATCATTTGTACAGCATCTGAAAACAAGATGCTCTTTTAATCACTGATAATTCTGCCAGCGAAATTTCTTATCCAGTAATTGTCATCACTCATCAGGATTATTCATAGGATTGGCAAGATACTGCTGAACTCCTCAGGACCCTCACCATCAAATTTGGCAACTACTAGTGGTGTGCAAGCATGGTTTTGATTTTGAAGTTATATGAACAGCATGAGATAAAAATTATTACAGAATCAACTTGAGATAATGCTATTACCGTTTAATGTTTTATATGAAATTGCTTGTGCTCCAAAATTTGTGAGATCTAAGTTTTGTCTTGTCTTGGTTTTTTCCTCCCTTTTGGTTTCAAGAAACAAAACATAGAAAGCTGTTTCCAGAATCTTTTGCAAACTTCTTTTTCTTGCCATGCATAGGAAGAACAAGACTCCAAGCCCCAATACCATACGCGAGAGCGATATAACTTTAATATTCCAATTACTGAATGCAAAATGAGAACTTGTGTCCATTGAAAAATGACAAGAAAAATGAGTTCTAATCAAAGAGAAAATGCTTACAGCACGCTTGGGCAGTGGTGTGTTACTTTCTGCAGACCATTTAACCAAACGTGACTATTTTTAGCCAAAAGAGCTGATTGTGAAAATCCTATTGAAAACCTCAAAGCAACACTAATATTCCATCGTCCAACATTCTTCCCAAATAATCAGGTATCAGTAAGAATTGTTTCAACGTATAACATGGATACCAAGGGGCAAGACCTAGGTAGAATAAAATATGTACCACAAAACATTTAATAAAATAGAAGACCACTGTAAAGAAAGATTAAACCATGTGGATAGCAGAGAAACATAATCGAATCTTGCAATTATAATGAAGTACCTCAAGTTTCACAATGTCAACTGAGAGACCCCTCCAAACTTTAACAACTGATAACAACTATTTGAGAAAAAAGTGAACTACAGTATGTATCCTTTTTATCCTGCTACCTTTATTGCCCCCAACTCATCAATTTTTGAGCTCTTATGCTGCAATAAAATTAATTTGCAGAAGAAAGGTTCATTAAATAATGGATAAGGTGAGGTACAAGAAAACAGAGCAGAAATATAAAAGGAATACAGAGAAAAAAATAAATAATGACAACCATTCAACACAAAGCTGCCCCCCTTTTATTACCTTGCTTTTTTTGTGTTTGCTTGCATCGTTAAGATCTTCATCTCCATCATGCTTCCTTTTCTGTAAGCACATAGAGTAGAAAGATTTATGCATAGAACTAATTTCAGCAACATTTTCAAATGAGTGAAGCAAAGCCTATTGTATAATACTGGTATACAGTAGAATAGATCTCCTTAATTTGAGCCTAAATCACAATTTGAGGGTTCACACCGTCATCAGCAGAATCTTTGAATTTAGATAAAACCCAAGAAAAAAATTATAAGATATCTGATAAATCCAATTTAAAATAATTAAGATATAATGGTATGATAATTCAAGAGTCAAGACTTGGAATAATGTTGATCCTCATTGCAAACAATGTACAACAAGCAGAACAAATCCTTGACCTTTTCATGGTGTTTCTTCGCATGATCGGCACTGGAATCATGATACACACTTTTTTCCTTTTTTCTCTCCTTGTCCTTGTCTTTGCTGCGGTCTTTATGGCGATGCTTGTGCTTCTTATGCTCCTTATCCTTATCTTTGTCCCTGTCTTTGTGCTTTCTATGCTTCTTCTCCTTATCTTTAGACTCACCTTTTGATTTTCCTGCAATAGTTGGAGTTCCCTTCTCGGCCTATTAATAGATTGGAGTGAAGTAGGAGGAAGGAGTAAGCACATTTGTAGTCTTCAGCGAAAACTAACATATAAAACATTACTAGACTATGTCGTTTCTGAAATCTACAATCACATGATGGCCAGTGTCAGGAAGTATAGAAAACCACATCAAGCAATAGCAGAACTACTATCATTAAAGCAGAAAAATTCTTACAGGAGGCAAATCAATGGGAGCTGTTTCCCTCAGTTGAAAAGCCTCCTTCAAAATATCTAGGTCAAAAGGCTGTATGCGAGAACTTGTATCTACGGAGTAAGATGTATTCTGAAGAAGTTGATCCAACTGCATCCCATCTCCTTTTCTGATTTCTGTGTCTCCTACCACATTATGAAGATAGTGTGTGTCTGCAATTGACACGGGCAGTGGCCTCTTGCAAAAAAACTCATAGTGCGGAAGTAATTTGAAGTGACTTATAAGATCTACAGCACCCGTTAATTCCCTTGGTCCTAAAAGTTCAAATAAGATAACATGTTTTCAATGAGAAAGTATTAAATTAGAATAAAAAATATAACACACAAATTCCTGTCAACTGCACCCTTGTCTCCCAAATGTTAACATGTGCTTAAAAACATAAATATTCCTTTGACAAATCCCCATGCACAAACATTAACGCAGAACTCATCATAGCTGGCACTTGGCACCATATATGTAATCTAATAACAATATTGATTGACCACTAGTGATAATCCCCTGATCAGGAACATGGAATGGATAATAAAAAAGCAGTGTTATTGATACTGTTATAGTTAGAATGACAGAAGGAGGCTCTAATCTACCCTCAGAATGTTTGACAAGGGATACTTATGGACAGAGTTTAAATTATTATATGGAGAAACAAACTGTCAAACTTCAATTCAAAATATCAAGTAGTTTCAATTGGGCGATGGGTCATGGTGTTATACAGATAGATAAACAGAAGTTATAGCATAAAAACAAGTAAGAAAATACATGGAAAATAGATTACATGAAAAACTTTTACCTCCTCCAAACTTTTTGCCTTCAGGATCCATGTGTCAATCTTTGACAGATTGGCAGATCATCATCAGCTGCAATTCATAATGAAACAAACGTTCCCGTCCATCAATATTCAATGATGTTCCATTGTAAAACATGAAGATGAATGAGAAAATGGTCAAGTAGTTGCTCAGAGAGTAATCCTATTCATGGGAATCGGTTGGGTAATCTAAGATCAAGAGCCAGTATGACAACTCCACATGGATGCGTTCCCTGCTCCCTGTCCTTACCAGCCCCTATCTCACCTATCCCTGCCCTCAATCCCCTAAATGAGAGAGAAGTTATCCTCATCCCTTATCCCCAAATTTCAAATCATATTCTCTAAATTTTGTAGACCTGATTACTGTAATCAAAATGTGAATCCACAAAATTGCACCTTCAATTCCACATCAATGATTACTAAGAGGGTTTAGCTAACAATTTTTGTAAGATACAAAATAGAAATAGCTCATATTACATGTAACAAATAAATAAAAAATAACACTATCACTACATCTTCACAAAGTAAAAAGGTAAAGTGAAGAATGTCCGATTGAGTAACCACTTAGACGTTTCCACAAAAGCATGACGCAGTCCTTCTCAAATTCAGACATCCTTTGCCAAAACATCTAAGAAGGACATATTATTGCTCAAACATAGCAGCAGCAGTGGAGTCTTCAATCAACTTCTTGGCAGTGACATGGAGATTTAGCTTTCTAGGATTCTTCTATAATGCATAGAGTGAGAAAAGAAAGAACGGAACCAAACAAACGGAGGGACAGTCTAAAATAAATTATGAGCATAAGAATAGAGGGGCAGCATTTAAAAGAAACGGTTAACCCAATTGTTGGAAATGGAAAATTACTGAACGGATTGTTTGAATTATGCAGCGAATAGGGAAAGATCCCTGCATGTAAGTACCAAATGTGATGGTTCCTGCAGCAATTTTTGAAAATGGGAATTTTGGCCACTCCTAATCATGAGACAGTTTCCATGTTAGGGCTGGCATTTCAGGTTTTAAAAAAATGTTAGGCCTGACACCATCCTTCTTACTATGAAAGCATGCAATTTCGCGCTTAAAATGAGACCATTTATATAACTAGCATGTTTCTCTAGTCTACTGACTTGAGAATTTTCTATCACGATGTGTAATTATAAAAGAGATAGAGAAGAACAAAGAAGAACTGTAAAGCAATTATAATTGATATGACCAAAACTAATTTGCAGAACAGCATTCAAACTACCATGTCTATATGCTTCAGCTGTAAAGGAGCGAAGGAAGCGGAAAAGAAATGGCTTAGACAAAAACTTCAGAATTTCCTGTAAAGACATGCTTGAATAAATAACGAGTAGCTGATATCCCCAAAAAGATAACCTGCATATATCCTTTTCCGATACCATGCAAATGGATGAACTTAAAGAACAGATACTTTTTAAGTAGCACATTCATTTCACTCAAACTCATGTTCCCCCCTTCTTTCAAGAGACAAGAACAAAACTAAATTACTAAAGCAAATTAAACACCATCATAAAACTTCTGAATGTTATATTCCTTCGAAAATGTCAGTAATAGCTTGAAACCAGGTAGCAATTATCTCCTGATTCAATCTTCCCCAACTTTCGATTTAAAGTTCATTCATATCCAGAACATTAAGTTTTAAAAGATCTTTAAGAAAGTGCGAGCATGGTCTCCAAAATCTCCACCGCACACCCTAAAAACACAAACTTCATCCAAGGTCTCGACTGAACAATTCCAAAATGGGATGTGCTTACACACTAAGTTATATTACTGCAGAAGTTTTGTCAGGGAAGACATCCACCTGAAGAGTGAAATTTTCGGTGTTTTTTACCAAACAAGGAGCACCCTTAAAATTCGCAACTTTCAGATGTTTTCAGGCTCTCCACAAAAGCTGTCGAATTTCAGAACTTTTCCGCTAGAATTCGCAGAAAGAATCCTCGAAATTTCGAAGCCAGAAGAAGCTTCTCGAAAAAAAAAAAAAAGGAAGAAGAACGACCCAAAAATTGTCGAGTGGCAAAGAAATTGGGAAGAAGAACTGTAGATCCAAGAAAATAACAAAGAGATTAACAATTTGAAGGCTTACAGGAGCATATAAAGACACGATCTTGTGCTCCAAGTCCAGTTTCCCCGCGAAATCAAACTATCGCTAGTAGTGTTGCGACAGCACAACCCAATTCATGAAAAATTCCTCCTGCTTCCAACTTCTTCGATGCCAATTGCGGCTTCTTGCCACCTCTTATTTATATTTCCACCTGACCATCTTTTTTTGTTTTTCCCTTTTCACCCCTTTTGGAATTATGGTCCCATCCTATTGGGTACGGTCATTCGCAAACATGGCCAGCGATCCTAAAGAGCAATGCTGCCAGAGTAAAATACTACAATGATTCATATTTTAATATCGTTAGTCAGTAAATTACAATTACAAATAATAACAACAACGATTCATATTTTAATATCGTTGGTCAGTAAATTACAATTACAAATGATAACAACAACAACCTAATCTTTTTAAAAAATAATGAATTTTTTGGTTTTTTTTTAAAACATAATTTTTAGCTCTATAATTTTAACATATATCCTTATAGTGTTTTTTTCATTACCACATATCTCTCTAATTTATTCAGCTTATAACATTAGTTTCTTTATTTTTGAATATGTCCATAAAGATAATGAAATAACTCTAATGATATTAAATATGTTGAATTGTGGCTAACGTCATTAAGATGTGCTGGGATGTAATTATGATTCTAAGCAAACTAATAGCGTTCTTAGTAAATTAATTCTGTTTTATGTTCTAAGTTTCAGTCAGTTAAATCATAATTCCATCTCAAAACAAAAATTAACAACATTAATTATAGATAAGTATATTTAACATCCTTAGTGCCACTTCATTATTCTTTTAGACATTTTAAAAAAATAAAAGAACTAACACTATAGACAAGATAAATTAAAAGGACTTGAAACAATGAAAAAAAAAATTATAGAAACTTATATCAAAACATATTAAAACTATAAAAACTAATAATTATGTTTTTTCTTATTTTTAAATTTCTTCAAGGTATCCTCCATGCAAGTGCGAGCTTTAAGAGTTTGACATCTATCAACAAGTATTTTTCCATACACACACAACTTAAGAGTTAAACCTTGATGGTTGGTGGTCCTTTAAGTTTATTTTAATTATCAATATAGTATCTAAAGTTGCATGACAATATATAATTAATCCTTATGATGTTATTTTCCCTCCGAATCAAAGGAACTAATGGTGTATAATTTTAAAAATTTAAAGACTTAAATTATAAAAATTAAATTTTAAGAACCAAATCAATAACTAATGCAAATTTAATGGACCAAGAATTTCATTATCTTATTTTTTTAACATGACTATTCGGATATATAACCTTAATGAGTCAAATACAAATATTATCAAGTCAAATTAATGCTATCCTTTCAAAGGCATCTTTTAAATTCACACAAGCTTGGATTTGAAATCTCGTACCGGTCACAACTCCTTCAACGAAGATCAACCCATGTTAGTCTATTATGTATAATTTGTTTATCTGTGCTCCATCCTTTAAAGTCATTATGGATTATGGATTCACCCCATTAACGTATCCGATGGTACATGCAAAAATAGAATCAAACAAGAGGGTGGCGAATCAAAAATTCTTCCACTCGTATTTATGTTTCCTACTCATCAAAAATAGTAATGTGGACATTGTGGCTGCTACATAGGGGCCTACTTGGAATCAGACAAGCACTTGGTGGGACAACATGACGAGATTTTAGCCAAGAAAGTTAGAGTGTGGCATTAAGAAAATATTTATCTTGGGTTTTGATAAGGATTGTTTATAGGTACAAATTGATTTGACTTTACTCAGAGCCAAACTAAATCAAACTAATTAGTTCAGATAAAATTAGGGATTGACTGGTTTTCAAAAAATTACTATAATACCCTTATCCTTAATTTAAGTATGGTGCAATTTTACCCAAGAATCATTAAAAGAAAAAAGGAAAAAAAAAATTCAATGTATAATAGAAAAAAAAATTAGGGGCAAAAATATTCATTAAGTAAGGGTTGTGGAGTTCACCTAGTATATTACGTAGAAATGAATTAAGGGCAAAAATATTCATAAATAATATACCTTAGTATAATTTTGCCCATCAATCCTAAAAATAATACAAAAATTCTCAATCCATAACAAAGGTATATGTTCTCAAATGTTGATCGTCAATATAAAAAATACTGATATTTTTTTTGACTCATAGTGAAGACATGAAAATATGTGTTTAAATTTATTCTAATCAACAAAAATTAACTCTAGGCATAAGCATACTTCAATTCAAAACCCATACTGAAGCTTCACCGACTCTTGCCTTTCTCTTCTTTTCGCAATCCAAGTTAGTTCAAAACATTTTCCCTCCCTTCCAGGCTATGGAGTGTGATAACATAAAATATTATACTTAAGTTTTGTGATACTTAGGATAAATTCAAGCACATGTATTTTTTTCATTTACAATTTAAGTTAAATAAAATTTCAATTATTTTGACATTTACTGTCAATATTTGCCAACATATGACTTAATTTGTTTTAGATTGAGAATATTTTTACACTATTTTTTAGGTTTTATGAGCAAAATTGCACCATAGTATGATATATTTGGGTATTTTTGTCCCTAACGCATTTACATATTACATAGTAAGTGCAACCAACAATCCTCCGTTTATGAATTGGGAATTTTGCATCGTTTTTTATGAATTCATGAATAAAATTGCACCACACTGCTATTAGCTCCTTGCAAAAAATTTTATGAGTAGACTTGCACCTTCATTGGAGATTAAATGATGTTAAAATGAATTTTGTTGGTATTTATAGTAGGGTTAAAGGGCAAAAATATTCAAAAACTTGTTCATTTGGAGTATCTAATATTCTTAAGTCAATAAAAATGTAGGAGTACTTATTAACTCTTTTTAATGAGAGCATTCTTTTTTGAACCATTAAAATGGCTTAACATTTATTAATATGCACTGGAGATGCTGGGTTAAGGAGCAAATATATCAAGAAACTTTTTTCTAGGAGTTTGGTATCCTTAAGTAAAAAATGTTGCAAGATACTTTTGCACCTAAAAAAAGGTTCCTTTTTCTTGATATTTTTGCATCTTAAAAAAAGTTTTTGAATATTTTTGCATTTTATGTTTGTGTTTTTTTTTTAAACAATCAACTTTAATGAACATCAAGTAAATTTAATGAGATGGGAAAAGATGCCTTTACCAAGAGATCATGAGTATTGATGTATTATTATTGATTTAAAGATACTGGATGCTTGTAGTAAAAAAGTATTTAAGTATTTTACCCTTTAATTCTTTACAGTGTTAATGATTTTTTCTTCTTTTAATTTTTACTTTTTATAATTAATGTAGGCAACAAGTTCACATTTGATTACTATTTTAGGAGTGTTTGCAATGCGCATATGATTACATTATCTCCTTCTTCTTCTTTTTTAATATTTTTAACAACTCTTTTTCTGATTGTAAGGTTAGTTTTTCGTAATCTTTCTTATCTTTTCTTGGACAAAAATAATTTTAAAAACATTCTTTCTTTTTTAATATTCATTATTTTAATTCCATGCATGCTATCGTGCTTGAGTCAAGTGCATATAATCAAATGGTCGAGATCTCAAGTGGATTGGCTTAAGGACATTATATAAAGTATTAGTGCGCTGACTATCAATTATTAAAAATTAAATGTTATTTTTATCCCTCAACTTTATTTAAAAAGTCATTGAAAACCTTAAACTCAACCGCAGATCAATTTTGTCTCTCAACTTTAAAGATTTCATTCCTTATCATCTTATCTTCTTCTCACCATTAGTTGATCGTTAGTGGACTCTATATTATGTTTTTTTAATTTTTTATTATAAAATATTTAAATTAAGGGTGCTCACTAATCATTCAAATAAAAGTTGAGAAGCATAAATAACTCTTGACCAAATAAAAAATATTTAAAAAGTAGTGGGACCCATTGATAACTAACGAAAGTTGAGTGTTTTTTAACGTATGATTTAGAGGAATCTTTAATTTGAAAGATAGAATTAACCTATAGTTAAGTTTAAAATTTCTAATAATCTTTAAATAAAGTTGAAGGACAAAAATAATTCTTAACTTAATTATTAAATTGGGCTTGGAAGGTGGAAGTTAAACAACGATTTCAAAACCAAATTTGAACCAAACTAGTCGATTTTGCTAAAAAAATAAACTAAACCTTAATTAAAATCAATTTTGTTTGATTCATGTTAGATTGGTTTGGTTCAATCTAGTGCAATCGGTTAAATCGATTTTAAATACCCTTAGTTTTGAAAAAGAAATAAATTTTAAAAATATACTATAAATATATATTTTTTTTCAAATATAAGTTGTGAGGCACAATAATCACTTTAACTGATTGGGAAAAAAACATAATGTTGTTATTACATGGGATGACATTGTAGTTTTATTAGTGATTTAAAACTCAAACTAAACAGAACAAATCAATGGTCAATGAGCTCAATGAGTTCAAAGGTTTGAATCGTTTGAGGGTTCAAACCTTATTGAAGAAGAAAGAAATGAAAGAAAGAAGAGAGTAACTAACATGGTTCAAGATTTTTTAACTCCTCAATGCATCTTTTTATAGATAAGTTTGGTTAAAGGGTATACTTTGAAAGTTTTTCACTAGGTACAATATTACTTACAAGTTTTAAAAATAGTACAATGTTGCTCTAAAGTAATATTTGACTAACATTGATTGTTATTATGAGAATTAAAGAGTAATTTTGCTCCAAGAGTTTGTTTGAAGGAGTAAGTAGTCCTAAAATTTTTATTGACATAGTGTTTTTGAGTTATTGACTTCATACTAGAAGAATGATCCAAATACTTTTTATAACTCAAAACGAAAAAAGATTTTCCGTTAAGTTATGCTAAACCCCTTTAAATCGAAATATAAACTAATCTATATTGCTAATAGGTTGGTCTCAAAAAGTCTATATTTGCTTGTGGTTAAACCTATGCAAATCAAGACTTTCTCAAGGACACATTTTTGGACTTGCTCAATGAAAAAATATGAGTGCAACTCCAAACTTTGCTCAAGGAAAGTCCATGACATGCTTGAATTAGAGTTGGATTTATACCCAAACAATCTCATGTAAAGTCTCTTGTCAAAATCCGAAATTATGAAATATTTTTTAACATTGATAACAGGTTGTTTTAATTTTCTTTTGATTTGAATATTAATAACCTAAAAACATTGTGCTAACAAAAGTTTAAGATATTAATTACTCATTTAGAAAAACTTTTGAGGCAAAATTGCCTTTTAACCTTAGTCAAAATTTTTAGCTGATGGTTAGTGCTGGTTAAACGTTACTATAGGACAAAATTATGCTATTTTTGTAAATTTTAGAATTAATATCACGCCAATAAAAAATTAAAGATATCTATTACACCTGGCAAAAAAAAATTTAAAGCAAATTTTCCATTTTGCCCTTTAGCCCTAAATAAGTTTCTTAAGCAACAAAAAAATTTGATAAGTTCAATAAATAGTTAAAGCTAAATTACACTCCTCCCTTCAGTCCCCATAAGTTCATTATTATAATTATATTTTAATTTTAGTATTGTTTTATTATTATATCTGAATTATAAAATCTTTATTATTGTTGAGTTTTTAAATAACAATTCCTTATTTATATTTGTATCTATATTCATAATTATAAAATATATTAATTTAATAAAGACAGGAGTGATTATGATTCAATCACTATTTAATCATTAAACTTTAAAGTAGCACTTTAATTCAATACTATAGAGATTTATTTAGAACTTGTATGAATAGGGAGCTAATGAATAATTGTCCCCTAATCAACCCGAAGGATTCTTTATAGGAACAAGAAAGCAATGGTGATGAGAAGTTTTTCAAGCTATATGTTAGTGGCTCCTTACAAAGCAATGATAGCAGTGTTTGTGGTGAAAATTTACATGATAAGAGCAATAATTGGATTTGTGGTTTTAGCTCCAAAATTAATCTTTGTTCCTACCATCGTGGTTGAGCTGATTAGATTCATTAGGGGGGGCGAACATATGTTAACAGAAGGGTATTTACAAGGTTAATTTTTTTTTTGATTGTCTTGAAGCCATTGACCATATTATTAGAGGATGTGATGTCAATTATCCTTTTAGGGACATTATTATTGTCGAGAAAGCTGTTGCAGTAATACTGTGTATGTGTCTCAAAAGAAGAAACCCTACATTGCCCATATAAAGAAAGCTCTTAGTGTATAAATATTAAGGAATGAAACGGGTTTGGAGGAGAAGTGGGCTCATGCACACAAAACAGGCCAACTCAATGCAATCGCAAGTGAAACAACCAATTCGACTCCTGTGCGTGAGTTAAACAGGCATTGGGTTCCTTTTATCAAATTATTTTTGTGAAAAAATAAATAATTATTTATTTAAATGAGCTTATCAGAAAACCTTGTTTTTTGGCTGATTAAAATTTGAATTTGAGCCTCAACTGTTTCTGGCTTTTAAGCAAAGTCTTAAATGGATTTATTAATCAAATTTCATTACTGTTTTGTTACCTTAACGGCTCAATGCTTAATGAAAATAAAATGCTTATATCGAGGATTAGTGATGCTTAATTCGATGATATTGTTCCAACATTTGTCCAGGATTTTGACTTATATATAGGCATACATGCAGACAAAACAAGGTGCCAGGCTCTCAAGTGTTCGAGCCACTTCTTTCCTCCTCTTCCTTGACTGTCCTGTGTTCATCTACCTGAGTTCCTTTCTTGTTTAGTGCTTGTTGTTTTGTTACCTTGCTTGTGCATGACGTGCTTATTTAATTTGGAGAACTGCCGGTCTATCATACCAGTATGTCAGAGTAATTTTTAAGGATAGTGTCATTTGACACAACTCAAACAGCTTTTACTTTCTTATCTGCCGCTAACAGAAGCCCCCTCTTTCTCATATAGGTACAGTCTAATTTTTTTGAAACATGTTTTTAGGGATCATAAGTTGATTATTTAATTAGGTAGTCCTATGAAAGGGAATTTTCGCCTCTTTGATCATCATCTCACAGATGTAGAAGAGGAAAATGGAGGAAGAGGATAGGTAGTCTGTTCGGTTGACTCCGTGTTGGACTTTGTTTCGTTGTTATTAATGTATTTTAGTTTCTATTAAAAAAAAATGCTCGATTTGATTTTTGAAAACGTTTCTTTCTGCACTGTTTGGGCATCGTTTGAAACTCCTTTAAAATTTAGGCCACAACGCACCACTCTTGAAATTCTCTAAACATTATGGGCTTATGGTGTCCAATTACCAATTTAATTCCTCAATTAAAATAATTCCCTAAAAATTTAAATTGAAGAGTAGCTAAAATATATATTTAATTTTTTAATTTAAATATTTGTTTAATTTTCTAACCCTAATATCGTTAGTTTAAAATAATTATTATTTTAAAAAATAAAACTTATTATGTCAAATATTTTTGCAAATATTTAAATATTAGGTAAATGAGTAAATTATTTTTAAACTTTAGATCTAATAACACCATGAATTTTGAGCTTGTTTATCTTATAAATTATTTTTTTAAATTTTAAAAATAATGCAATTCGATCTGCTATTAACAAAATTAATTCTAACCATTATCTGACTAAAAAAATAAAAGGGACCTCAAAAATTATAAAAAAATAAAAAAATTATAATAAAGAACCCTAAATTACATAAAAGAGCTTCAAAAATTATATAAAAGGACAAAAAAAAATCTCTGTTAATTTTTAGATCATTTTCTGGGCAGCTAACTTTTAAAATTAATTTTTATTTACAGCAAAGCCATATTATACATTTTTTAAAAATTAAAAAAAATAATTTGTACAATAAATAAATTTAAGTTTGGTGTTATAATTTGTTAATTTATCCTTAAATGTTCAATCTATAAAGTTAAAGTACTAAATAAGAAGAAAAAATTACACCGAGATCTTTTATAAAAATTTTAATTATTAAAAAATTTCATCAAATATATAAAATATTCTTATGTCTCAATTTTTTATAATTATAATTTGATAAAGATAAACGAAAATAATAATTAGAGTATGGGTTTAATGTCAAATTTTTATTTTTATTTTTACCCAATTATAATCGTACAGGATTTGTGATTTGACAGTAATCATACATTTTTATAAGACTTTGAAATAATTGAAATTCTTATATCGTCTTCTCAGTAATTTTCTCTGAATAAAATTTAATAAAGAAAATCAAATAAAGCTACACACGTGTTGCTTCTAGATCTTGCCAGCACTGGCTTTCCTTACCAGTGCAGGCGTTCCCTTGGCCATCTCTTGCCGGCACTGTCACTGGACTCGCTCTCTACGAGATTGACGTTGTTGTTGCGCAACCGATAGTGGAAGTAGAAACTGTGTTTTTGAAGCCACTGCTATTGGTAGGTTCGACCTTTGCCTGCTCCAATGGCGGCCGTCGATCAATTCGGCAACATGCATGACGTTGCACTTAAACCCAGTTTGCTTCGCACCCTTCTCCAAGATCACGTTCCTGATGAGCATCGCCCATTTTCGAACTCCTCCGAGCTTTCGAAGATTGAGTATATGATCAAAACTCACAGCCTTCTGTCCGAGTCCTTCACCGAATTCATGGCCCCAAAACAAGTTGAAAGCTGGAAATCTGCTGTTGATTCCTGGGTCGACCGCATTTTGACCCTCGTTGCGAACAATATGGTATGTAACCTTATACTCTACTGTCGTAAATACTGATGGCAAATGCAATATAAGGTGGCGCATCGTTGGTATTTACTTATATAGTTGATTAAGTAAGTTAATGATTGGTTTTTATCAGTCGGTGTTAGTTTGTACCTGAAGCATTTCTTTTTTCATTATAAAGTTTTGTTTTCTTTTGTAGCCAGATAAATGTTGGGCAGGAATCTCATTGCTGGGAATTACTTGTCAAGAGTGCAGCTCTAGCCGTTTCCTGACATCCTACTCTGTGTGGTTCCAGAAATTGCTTCCGTTTTTACTGGTGCTGCACTGTTTTTCATGAACGCGGCTTCTTTCCTGCAATCTTTATTGAATATTTCTTCCTTTGGAATGTTTAAGGCAATGGCTTTGTATTTGCTGCTGGTTTGGGAAATAGATAATGTAGACCTGAGTATCATCACCTTGTTGCTTTATCTTTGATACTTAATTGCTTGTGTCAACGGAATTGAAAAATTCACAAATAATACACAAGCCTACTTTTCTGGATTGAGAAGAATGTATATGGATCTTTTCAGTGTCTATGTGTGGCCTCATGCTCTGGTAGGGTTAGTACCTGAAGTTGTCACCTTGATAAGAGTATATTTTAACTAATAAAGTTGTAATCCTATAGATCTACAAAAGCTGTGGCACTCAAACGTGCTGAGGTACTGATACAATCAAGTCAACGTCTTTCGTCTGTTACTTAGAAGGTTGGGAGAATTATGTTGAAGTTGCACACAAGAGAATTAATTACTATAAAATTCATTAACAACCGAATTAAGGAATTAATTCACAACACAAGGAAATTAATTCCTTAGTTCGGTTGTTAATGGATCTTGTAGTAATTAATTCTCTTATATAAGACTTGTATGTAATTCTGCCTAAAAAGTTTAATTGGCAACAATCCAACAACCGGGTGAGATGTGGCCTCTTTATCATATCATATATCTTCTATAACGAGATAAATGTGGGAGTTATCCTGGGATTTTTGGGAATTTTGTTAGGAAGTTGTATAACTAATTGTGAATATTTGAGGGATAGATGCTCAAATAATTATAGCATTAATTATGAGGATTCAGTTTTTGGGTTGTCACCAAAAAAAAAAAAAAAAAAAGATTTGTTGGGTAGGAGCATAATTAGTATAATTGTGGAAAGATTCTTCTACCTTTTTTGGTAGACAGGTCTGTGTATGTAATAGCCCCTTCCATGTATCAGTTGAAGTAACATTTATGCACTTTTATCACATGGCATTAGTGCCTGAGAATAACTTAGCTCATTGTTCCTTCCTTTGAATCATTGTTCAAGTGAGCCTTGATTGGCACTGTATTATTGTCCAATTTTTTCTTGTTGCTGTTGGAATTTTCCTCCACTGCCGTCTGAGTCGACTTTCATTTATGCCCTCTGTTTTCTAAGTTGTCTCTGAATCCATCCTTTTTCATCAGGAGGGAGTTCATTTCATCCTTAATTTCTGATTTCTCCTTGCACTCAATTCTGGTTTGAAAAACACCTTCAACATGTATGGGAGTTTGTCTGATTGCCTTAATTGCTTACAATCAACCTGAATTCGTAATTTTTTTTCTTTTGGTTCTGAAACGGGGAGTTTGGCATTGACATATGTCCATTAGTCGCTTATGTGTACCCAGTCCTAATGTTCCAGTGTCATCATGGTTGTTTTCCGTTCAATAGTTACATTGATGTCACTTTAACTTCTAATTCTACAGTTTGTGAAGGTTCTACTGTGGTGTCTTGTAGTGCCACCAAAGAGCAGTCATTGGAAGTCAAACTGAAGACCTTCCAAAGTTGGATGGCCAAGAGTTCAGTTTCAATTCTGTATGACACAACGAAATCAGGAAAAAATCCAATAGGGATTTAACAAAGAAGAAGTCGAGAGCTTAGAAGCATGTTGGAAATCCTTGAGATTCCTATCGGTAATACATGTGATATTGGTAGTTGTGATCTGGCGCAATTAGTCAAATCTTATAGTTCCCATGGATTTGATATGTCAGATATGCTTTAAGTTCTTGGGTCATTGACCTACGAGCCACTTACCATGTGATCTGCTTTTCTCACCATTTAAATATATATGCTCCATGTAGTGGCGAGAAAAACCAAACCAAAACCCAAGACCAAACCGAGCCATATTTAATTTGGTCTGTTCGATTCAGTTTATTTGGTTTTTGGTTCGGTTCTGGTTATTTTTTATGTGTATTTTGGTTTATTTTGATTTGGTTTTTTAGACAATGAACCTAAAATAATTGAACTGAACTGACACGCACACACACAGCTGCTGTTTAAATCATGTGCTAGTGTTAGACTAAGTTAGTAATCTGGTAAAATAAAAAGGCCAAGTTAGTAACAGGCCCATAGTATATTCCTAAACCCATCTCAATATCTCTGAAATCCTAAAGCCTAAAAAAACAAAAAATGAAGAAGACTAAGTAACATAGGGCCTCCATGTCTGAGCAACAAGAAAACTTATGTTGATAATGGATCTCTTGCCATTGTTGCAAGGCTTGCAGATATCCAAATTATTCCCTCATTAGTTCCTAGAAATGTTCTCCATGTTCCTAAGTTGTCTGCCAATCTTATTCCTATACAAAAACTTAACAAAGACATGAACTGTACCATGATTTTTATCCTCCCCATTGTGCCTTTTAGGACCAGGCTGGCTAAGGAAAACGATGGGCTGTACCATGTTGATGTATCAAGAAATATCCTTTATATATTATTGAAGGAGACAGGTATGCTTGGGTGCAAACCAGCTGAAACTTCTATGTAATCCATTTATAAGTGTAGATCTAAAGGAAGAAATTCCCCCTCTAGATAGACACAAGGACATATTAGAGGCTGGTTGGGAAATTGATCTACTCCTCCCTCTCCAATACTCAATTTGTCAGAGAATCATTCATTCATTTCATTTCCGGATTTCAGACAAGTGTCCATTGATTTTAATACAGTGTGATATTTCTGGTTGATGCATTTTATAATCACTAATAAGCTGAGCTGATTCTTGCTTTAAGATGGTCTAGAGTTAAAGTTGTCTCCTTTCCTACAATGAGAAATTCCATCCTTATATAGTATGCGCTGTGTGAATAGGATTGAAAATGTCAACATAATTTATCTGATCCGATGCTTTTTTCTGTTTTCATCTTGCATTAGGATGTTAGCTGTTTCATCTTTTAGTTTACGCATGTGTATAAGCCCAAACACCGCTTGCTTCCATGCATTTTTTAAGGTCAAGATCTAAATATTTTAAACAGATCTTGTGATTTTTTATTGTGTGACGTGTGCTCTGTTTTTTTAATTAAAGCAGTCACAAGAAAAATCTCATTTTGTGAGGGTGGCTTCTTGTGCTTCAATATCTGATATTTTTGCAAGGTTAGATATTTCTTCTCCTACTCAAAGAAATTTGTTCTTAATTGCTTGCTAAATTTTGGAATCATATATGGTATTTTGTGTCCCCCCCCTTTTTTTAACAGAATAGATTTTGTAATTCTGTGGTTAGTGGGTAAGGTAAAATAAAGCCATGATTTATTGTTATCTGAAAAATATTTCCTTTTTCTTGCTGATGGTCTAAATCAGTTAGTACAACCATCCCTCATCGACTTGTGTCAAACAAGTACTGGAAGCTGCCTCTAATTATTTTCTTTTCAAGGTTAGGCTGAGTGCATTTCCTGATATTAAGAGAGATTGGTCTTCCTGTGCGGGGAAAGTCATTCAGCCAGTCTTGGACCTGTTGAATGATGACAACTCAGAGGCTATCTGGGTAAGTAGCATAACTTTGAAGATTATGGAACACTATATCTTTTTCAAATAATTGAATGAGAAATCCTAGAATTTTGTAGTAATGATTGAGAAATTCTTGTTTTGAAGTGGGTTTGTTCTTAGATTAGTCTTGGGCTTCTAAACGGAGGTAGAAGTATGACTTCTTCTCTTGCTCACACTCACACACACACTGTCCCCCCCCCCCAACAAAAGAAACAACAAGAAGAAGCATTATTCCATTAAGTGAGGTCAGTTATAAGGATCACAGAATGCCAATGTGTTCTATCAAAAACACACACAAACAAAAAAGAAAGTTTTGGTAATTGTCAAAAGATGATTTGCTCTTAAAACTTGGAAGCTGAGGAAGTTAAATGCCTACCGCATGCCCCATGGTTACTAAATGATGACACGCCTTTGAACATAAATGCTTACCTTGTCGCCCATGTTCTTTATGCTTGATTTTGTTTCAGTTTGTACATATCTTCTTTGTTTTCCATTTCTGAGATTAATTTATTATCTGACTTGTGTTGCATGCAGGAGGGTGCGCTTCATTTGTTATGTACCATATTAACTTCTTTCCCATTTTCTATTCAACGTCACTATGACAGTGTATGTTCCTCTTCCCATATGCAACGTTTCTTCCATGATTAATTCGTTTTATGCTATTTAAAGTTTGAAATAATAGAGAATATGGTTTGTGGGTTTATTTTCTACTTAGTTCTTGGACAAGCTTTACTAATTTCTTATGTAAAGAATTCGTTTTAACAAAGAATTCTAACCAAAACAACTTTTGTTTGATAAGATAATCCTAATACCAATATCTCACTCCAAAAGTTTGATAATTGCAAGATTTCATCGGAATTGATGATTCTTTGAACAGAAAAGGCGTACATATGAAGGTAGGGAGAAAGACTCCTGATTCATCCCCCTGACTTAGCTAGTTTAAAATTTAAAATTTAAAATAAAGTATAATTACAATAAATGATGACCAAGAGACAACAAGAAACAAAAGGAAGATAAATCGTGAATGCATACAACAACAACAACAATGGTGATTAGGTCAAGTAGAAATGATTATATCCCTTAAAAAAACCTTATGAATGGAGAAAATCACATCAAAAGAGCTACTCCTATTTAGACCTGATAGTGCTCGAATCTGGATTAGTTGATAGCATCAGATGCCATATGGTTGTCATTAAGAAAAAGAATAACAATATACCTGGAGTGGAGTAGGCATGTGATCTTTGATTTCCCGCTTAAGCTGGATGGTTGATGGCTAACATTCCTAGTTTGCAAATAAACCCTTCCAACATGACCCAAGGCAATGTCTTGTTCTGGGTCTCAAGGCATCAACAACTTGATTCAGGCTGGATGTGTAAGTTAGTTCAAGAATGTGCACATCAAGTTTTTCCTTAATGAAGTGCCGATCAATTTAAATGCCTTTTGTTCTATTATGAAGCACATGATATTTTTGCAATACCAACTAATTGTAGAGATATTACCACAAAATATCTTCTTGGTTTCAGTCATAGGAATTCTGAACTTCTCCACAAGTCCTTTAAACCAACTATTCCTCAAATTTCTTTGCCATTACAGTGGCTTTGGTTTCTCTAGTTTGACATCAGCACTGATGCCCTTTATATATCTTGGTGGATTATGATTGACAACTGGCATGTGGGAACCACTATGCCTGCCTCTAAGACTTGTGGAAACTAACAAACAAGAGAAAGAACACAGTGCTGAAAGTTTCAGTTCAAAGTTCATCTAAGCTGCATCTTCAGTTAAAAGGCTTGGCTCTGAATTGCTTTCAAGGACTGGGTTTGAAGGCGATTGTTCTGCTTTTGACATCACAATCACCAAATCCATAGCCTTTCAAATATCTTTGGTTTGAATTGTCACTATGAATTCCCCGTAAAATCTTCTTATGTCTGGACAGGATTTTGTAGGATCATGCTTAGTTGGTACTCTGTTTGCTATCGTTCTCATTTATTAGCATTTCACGAACTTTGGCAAGAAAATCCTATGCAGAACGGCTTCAACATTCTCAAACCCTTCATATTTTTTTTCTTTATCTTTTCTGTCATTGCTTGAGTTTTCTTTTTGTTGGATTCCATTCTTTTCTTGGATACTAGACTTAACTTCAGGTGACTTCTCTACTTGAACAAACATGATCAGAGGATTTTCCTCTTCTTGATTGTTTGTGGGCAGAGTATCTTGATTGAGGGGGGTCTGTGTTTGTCTTTGAAGCTTCACTTCTAGTCTCTGAAATTTTGCTGCGACTTTCTCCAATTGATCCTAATGTTGGAGGTTGAAAATATATTAGTTAATATAATATTAATTATTTGTACAGAAAAATTGGATTTTAAATAAGATTACAATTATTTTAGTCAACAATAAATTAGGATTATAATTTGTTTTGGAAATCTTGAAACTGGTAAGCCATCTTTTATAGTCATGGGATACTCACCATGCAAAGCAATCTGACTAAACAAAAAGAAATAGAAATATGCACTATAAAAGGAACCAAAATTAAAATGCTTCACTTACAACACAGAACACTGAAAATGTTGCTGGGGAAGCAAAGCAACGATGGAAGGTCTCAGCTACAATTAAGGGCCCTTCATCATTGCTTAGTGACTGATGACTCAACCACCTTTGTTACTATGTCTTCCAGTCATGCTTCTTTCCATCAATGTCTTGAGGATCCTACCTAGATTTTGAATATTGGAGACTGACTTTGCCTTTATGTTGTTGGCTTGAGGATTGGCTAATGAACAAACTGTTATCCCGTTAAGAAAATTGAATTGTTTTGACACGCTAGCATGCTTATGTGTTGAGAGTGCCACACTCTCCCTTATGACTTACTTTGTTTTTTTGTATCTGGTTGATTGTGTATCTAGTGGTATCCAGCTTAAGCTTATCGCTAGATTCTCAGTCCTGATTTGCTTGAGAGAATCTAAGGCATCTCGGTCTTTCTACACCTATGGACTTCTATAGATATAACCTAGTTGCTGGTTGAGAATGAGATGAACCAAAGAATTATTCCCAAGGCTCTCTCTGGTTTTTTCGCTCACAAATCTACACTAGGCCTTCATTCACTATTGTGCTTGTATTAGAATTTTGTGACCAAGTTCACGGTCTCTCTGTCTATGTGCCCTACTTGGTAGATAAATGTAGGCATGCTATGTTTGCACGTTGGAAGTCCTTATTTATATAGATTTCTTTGTGTACTTCATTTGACATAACACCTAGTGAAGCATGATTGTTCATCAAATCCATTGCCAAAATTTTCATGAACTGATTAGTATTATGAATTTATGCAGGTTGAATCTGCCATTGCTTCAAAACTTTTCTCAGGAGGATGTAGTCATAATATGTTGAAGGTAGTGAGCTTTCTTTTTCATGGTTGTTTCACACCAGTAACCTGAATCTGGACTTCTTACTCTACCTGGCTCAGCATTCACAATTCTTTTACTCTAGGAAGGCGGGCATAAGTTGGTGAAAGTAGACTAACTGTTAGAGATGCGGAACTCCAGTATAAGAAATTCCATAGCAGGAAACAACGCCTCCAGTCTCCACCGATCACAATACCATAAATGAATGGCAAGCCTTCATGAAATATGAGATGAAACAAGCAGAAATTACGGTCCTGTCTGGTTATGTTCTAATTTTTTTTTTTTTAAAATCTATTTTGTGAAATAGTTTTTAGAACTGTTTTTCAAAACAAAACAAAATGAAAACTGTTTGATTATGTGAATTTAAAAACAGTTTTAGTTTTTAAAAACCGACTAATAATGATGGTTGTTGGCAGCCAATAGTGGTGACTTATGATAGTAATTAGGCTTGTTGTTATTATGATAGTAATTAGTCAAGCTAACTATAATTTTCAATAATTAAATGTGGTGGATTTTGAAAACAAGAAAAATAAAAAAAAAACAACTTTGAATGTTTTTATTTTTATTGTATTTTTTTTAAAAAGAGAACAGTTTGGGAAACAACTAAATAAAAACACTTAATCAAATGGGTTTTCCAATTTTTTGGTTTTAAAATCAGAAAACAACCAGGCTCTAGGTGGCTGGATTTTTCTTTTCTTTTCTTTTTTTTTCGTGTTTTTGGCTTTGTGAACACAAGGTTAGGATTCAAGATGGGCGTTACCTTTTCTCTGGTTCCATGCAATTTTGCAGCTGAATTATAGATAGTGAATGAGAATGCTTAATCATTTGACAACTGCCGTGATAGTCACCTTCCCTTTGTGTGTATACTTAACAAGATAATTATGAAAACAAAGATAATCCCTCAAAGGGATGACATATATCCTGAACTTAATGGTGAAGAACAACTGCATACCTGCTAGATAATAATAAACTCCGAACTTATGCATATAGGATAAGTGATAATTTTTGAACAATATCTTTAATCCTCTAACACTTCATCTTTAATGCTTACCCTTCAACGATTGATATGCCTTCAACAATAATATTTAGGGTTAGTATTAGTTTCAAGTGAGATTTTGATGGCTTTAGGAATTTCATTAATTGAAACAAATTCGGTAGTTAGGCAGTTTTTTCATTTTCTTTTTTATTTTTTAAAAAAAGCCATACCATTGGATTCTCTTTGTCTAAAGAACTTTGTTCTCTTTTTAGGAGAATTATAAGTAATCAAGTGATCTTATTCTCTTTTTCTAAAGAGCTATGCTTGGTGTAATTCATCCAGAAACTTGCTTATTGCCTAGCATTACTTCCCAAAGTGAGAGGAGACGCAGAAAGCTGGTCTGTTTTGATGCAGAAAATTGTGGTGGTAATAAATGGTCAAATAAACAATGCCTTTCAAGGTCTAGAAGAAGGTTGATGCTAATTTTATCTATTTTGTGGGTACCAATATTAAGAGCAGTAGATGATCATCGTCTTGAATGTGTAGCAGAAACCAAGCAGAATGAGATTATTAGGTTGTTAAGTCTGTCAGGAAAAAATTCTCCACCACGTTTAGGATGCTGTGCATTCGATGGAGAAGCTACTAACAAGGCAACAAAGAGGTCTGAACAATCACTGCTGCCTATTGTCTCTCCTCTTATGCTTTGCTGTTGCAATATGCTTACAGATTCATATTCTTCTAAGGTACTTTTAAATTCATCCGAAAGAACGAACAAGGACCCAATTTATGTTCCAGCAACTGTTAGTAATGTTAATTATAATTCTTCTAGGAGAAGTTTGATGAAAATCGATGTGATTTTATTGCCAGGTTAATGTACCTGTTCGCCTGTTATTGGCTCTTGTTGAAAGAGTACTGATGGTGAATGGCTCCTTGCTACAAACGTCATTGCCATTAATGACTGCTAGGCAACAAGAGAATGTTTGTTCAGAACTTCCAGTTTTGCATTTACATTGCTTGGAATTGCTCATTTCTATTGCAAAGGGCATGGGCAGGTATGGCTGCTTTATATCCTCTGCCTCCAAAGGGAAAAAAAATAGGCAGTGCTAGTACTAGTGATGCAAATTGTATTTAATAAATGTGATATTAATCTATTATATTCTGTGAGTCTGATCTGAGCATCAGAAATTTTTTAACACCTCTATCTTTCCTTTCTTATCCATGTGAGGAAGTTTTATTGAATTGCGATAAGACCAGCCTTGTTATACTGTAGTGAATGCTAGGTTTTAAAAGGACAACAAGAGCATAGAGCTGGAATAGCAGAAATGAGAATGTTGAGATAAATGTGTTGGCATACATGAAAAGATAAAATCCATAATGAGCATATTCAAGAAAAAGTGAGTATGGCATCTATTAAGGGAAAGATAGTAGAAAATTATTTGAGATGCTTTAGACATATGTAAAGAAGGTCGTGGGAGGCATTGGTGAGGAAGGTGGAACACATAGTCTTGAGCTTTTTAAAGAGGGATAGAGGAAGACTAAAGAGAATACTCATGGAAGTTGTTGAATGAGATTTTTTGATCAACAATATTTCCAAAGATTTTGTTGATGATAGAGCACGATTGGGTTGTATAATCCTTGTAGCCGACCTCACCCAATCACATTTTGACTATTTAATACAAACATTACAGTAATCATGCCACAGGAGGCTAAATGGATCACTGAGGAGGGTTTCCTCCATCCAGATCCTGCCTTGTTGAGTCCTATCAACAATCTTCCACTCTACAGTAGAGTTCTTTTAAGCGGGCGGGAAGCATTGATGGAAAATTTGGAAAAATTTAGTATAGGTGTATGAGACTTTAGTTTGATTTATTTAATGTTTTTAGTAATTTATTTTCTGACTTCATTTTGTTTTCTTTATCATACATTCTCTTAAATATGTTTGGGCATCCTAGAAATAGCCGTAGGTTATTCCTCCCTTGCCTTTTTTCTCTCTTCCCCCCTCCCTCAGACTTCCCTTTCTTCCTTTAACTCATTGTTCTTCCATTTCTTCATTCATCTCTATTTCTCCCTCTTTCTCCTTCCCCTTACCCCTTTTCCTTGGTCCTCTACGTCAGCCTTAAACCCCATAAAATCAGCAACCAACAAACTTAAATAGAATGGAGATAACAGGACCAGTAAAAATAAGGTATTAAATAGGGATTCTAGCACTTACCCAGCAAATGCCAACATATCCATCTCAAACCTAAGATGTATGGACATGAAGTGACCTTGTGTGCGTAGCTTATCAACTATTGATTGACTCAGTTTCATAATATGTGGCTTGAATCTTAACGCATGATAGTTAACTCTACATCTCAATCGCTGATACTCAGGATTGTCGATTTCCTCAGCTAAGCGATGTGAAAAGGGAGTAAGATAGATGGCGCCATGTTCCTTCATTTTTGCTAAAGCAACACCAGCAGACCAACTTTTAGGAGCATCTCTTGGGGGCCGAAGCTGAAGTAAAATAATAATTGAAAGTGTTATAGATGAAATCGAAATAATTTCCACCAACTGATCTACAATCGAATCATTATATTCTACCTGAAATGCTTTTATTTTCTTCTTCCTGCCATTTTTGTGAATTTCTGGAATTCTTTCAACAATTCTAACATCAAACCTCAATGTCTTGATGAAGTGCTCAACATCATAGATACCATAAAAACCACTGCATGCAATAAGGAAATCAATTCTATGATTAAAGCTACAGAAAATATAAATAATCTGGTGATGTGGTAGAATAATTCTGAATAAGAGATTTTAGGAGAGTTAAGCGGATAGAGAGAAGAACAGAGGAGAGAGAGAGAGAGATTGAGGGAATTAGAGACAGGAAACAAAACTGAATAACACTCGCTTCATTCATAATCCATAACAAGTAGAATTGCCAAAAGCTATTTATATGAGTACAGGCACGGATCCCCAAGGGCTATATATATAACTAACTAATGTCACTATTATAAAAATAACAATATCCTCCCCTCAAAGAGATCCTTGCCCTCAAGGATCAGTTACAACAAAAAGGGAAACTTTGCTGAAATTGGTACAAAGGCATCCAGGATGCTTCCTCATCCGACAATTGCTTCCACTTAACTTAATTTCAGTGATGATTCTACCCTTCTTGCATCCCACTCTTTTCTCCAAATTTGTTCTGGTTCTATTGTGGCTGAAGAAGACGACTTGTTGTATTCCTTCCTATGGCTCATATCCATTGGTTCTTCTTCATGTTCAAACTATTTCTCATGGCATATTTTACACAGAAGAATTATCTAGCCCTATGGACATTTCATGCCTTTTTGTATCCTTGTTATGACTGTGTATCAATTCTTCCCATCTAAGACTTATTTTCTCCTACTTTTCTCTAATAGCAGCCTATGCCTGTGGTACATCAATGGTGATTTTAGGTTTCTTGTGTGCTATAAAGTTTTAAAGTATTACATTTCACTGATGAAGGCGTTTATTATGTTGCTTCTACCACTGAAGAGCAATTCAACTGTTTTAGCTTACCAGGAACTATAACATTGTCACTCATCCTTCCTCTCCTTTATCCTTTGCTTTATTTTGTTTCAAGAAGGCTGAATTCTACTGATTTGCCATATGTATGTTGCAGTCAACATTGCCACATGCTGCCTCTATGGTTCGCATTATTACATTGTACTTCAAGACGTGTGCATTTCCAGAATTAAGGATTAAGTTCTATTCAATCACAAGGATTCTGCTCATATCCATGGGTGTTGGTGAGTTAAGTTTCTTATCAAAGATGTCACTGTTCTGACTATTGGTGTTAATTTTGTTTGGAAGACTTGAGGTTATTCAAAATTTGTTCATTTGTTTTTACCTTAAATAACAGATTGGTTAAGAAGTCAAAATCTTGCAATAAACATATAATTAAACAAAATATGATTATCAACCACTACATCGCAGCCATTAGAGTAATAAAGAACAAAAAAATGAAGGGCATCAAGTTAGCGAGTATCATTTTACTAATAGTGTAGAGCACAATGGGATGGAGGATAAAGTTGGCATTGCCATTATTTCTGTAGCATGCCTATGTCAACACTACATGTTCGACAATTAGCATAGTTGTGATGCCTATATTCTCAAGTTTTGAGGTTGAAGCATAGCATCCTGCATCTCTTTTTAGTTTTGCAGCATCCTCTGTTCCCTCTAGCACCATCTGCAGCAACTAGCAACCACTCTTTTGTCATCCTCTCTCCATAATTGTTTTTTGCCCAAAAACTAGATGCTCGCTTTCTTCACTCTCTGTCCAGCAAAATCTTCTTTCCTTCATTTTTTGCCTGATCCAGATTCCTTACCCCCCCTTCTCCCTGCCAATCTTCAATATCTCCCATTACTGGCCAGTGCCCATTGGAACTTCCTTTTTGCTTTCGAGATCAGGGTTTACTTGTTATTTCTCACTCCCATCAATCTGCAGTCTTCCTTCATTCTACCATGTACCCATCATGGCCTTCTCAGTTTCTTATCTAAATTCCAAATATCTTCAACCTTGTGGATCAATTATCAGAACAGAAACTTGATTTTATGACTTGGGGATGATCATAAATTGCTGTGATTTTTTTGTCAAAAAAAGGGGAAAAAAAATAAATTGCTGTGATTTGTTTTAAATGTGAGTATAATTTTCGTATGTAATAGTCAGTCTATTAGTATATTGCCATAATGAACTATAAAATATATTTCAGATATTTAATGCGTTAAGGTCTTCATTATCTTAGCTGACACACAAATTTGACATAGCATTTTGAAGCCTTGGTCACTAAAACTGCAACATGCACTATCAAAAACTACAATACAAATCATGCTTCTCTTTTATCAATAAAATGAAAAAAAAAAACTGGATTTCAGAGGTTAAAATTTTGGGAGTGAGAAATAACAAGTAAAATCTGATCTCGAAAGCAAAAAAGAATTTCCAATGGGCATTGGCCAGTAATGGGAGATATTGAAGATTGGTAGGGAGAGGGGGGGGGTTAAGGAATCTGGATCAGGCAAAAAATGAAGGAAAGAAGATTTTGCTTGATAGAGAGTGAAGAAATCGAGCATCTAGTTTTTGGGCAAAAAAATAATTATGGAGAGGATGACAAAAGAGTGGTTGCTAGTTGCTGCAGATGGTGCCAGAGGGAACAGAGGGTGCTGCAAAACTAAAAAGAGATGCAGGATGCTATGCTTCAACCTCAAAACTTGAGAACATAGGCATCACAACTATGCTAATCGTTGAACATGTAGTGTTGACATAGGCATGCTACAGAAATAATGGCAATGCCAACTTATCCTCCATCCCATTGTGCTCTACACTATTAGTAAAATGATACTCGCTAACTTGATGCCCTTCATTTTTTTTTTGTTCTTTATTACTCTAATGGCTGCGATGTAGTGGTTGATAATCTTATTTTTGTTTAGTTATATGTTTATTGCAAGATTTTGACTTCTTAACCAATCAATGGCAGCCAAATTCAAAGTTATCCCTTAGTCTTCCCTTGCAATGAGGTCAATGGATTGAGGAAAATTATGTAGTCAGAATAATTGATTTTTCTGCATCACATTTACTGATTAACTTGTGCAATGGCGAGACTGAGGTTTGTTATGCTAATCTTGAAGAATTTTTGTTATGCTAAATGGTTTACTAATAAATATTCTTGAACAGGAATGGCTTTATGTCTTGCCCAAGAAGTTATCAACAATGCGATTATTGATTTGATTGCCCTTGGGAATAAGAGTGGGGGCACATTAAATGGCTCAAATTCAAATGCTTTTACTGGACCTTTGGTACAGCCAAGTCATAGAAAAAGGAAGTGTAGTAGTACAACTGCCCACTCTTTGAAGCAAAATGAAGGTTTGAGAGTGGAAGCCCCCAATACTACTTTAATGAATCCCATTTCTCTGAGAATAGCTGCACTCGAGGCTTTAGAGGCTCTTATCACTGTGGTATGTATATTCTGTCCTATGGGAATACTATTGTTCCCTCCTTGATCTCTTCTTCCTTAATTGGCTTTTCTAGGTCAAGTATGCAAATATATATACTATATATATATATTAATCTTGATAGCAGTGTTGGG